TGGATGATGCTCCCCAAAGACCAGCCTAAGAAGGGTGGGAGGGGACAGCACCTAACTAAGGTCACACAGCAGCGCAGGGGTAGGGGTGGGATTAGGTCTCACCTCTGCTGACGCCCAGCCACTGGGCCCCACTGCTCTTGGCTGTCATGGGTGGAATATTTTGAAAATGGTGCTATTTTCCCCTTTGAGCTGCTCCAGCCAGAGGCACCCATCAAAGCACTGTCTTTACAGGTGACACCAAAAACAGATGGCCCAAACCCAGACCCCTGCCGGCTTAGAATGAGGGTGACATGTGGAATCCCCCTCACGCACTTGAGATCCAGCCGATGGCGAATGCCCTCTGCTTCCCCTAAGTCACGTCCCTGGGCTGGGGCAGGACGTAAAGTTTTTAGAAGCTCGAGGAGGGCTGCAGAGAGCTGTTGCTGAGAGAACAAGAACTGGAGACGAGCAAGAATAACCCAAGTGGATGATCTCACCACCTGAGCCTGCCCGGCCTCCTCGGAGACATCGGATACTCTCGCCAGAGGGAGGAAATCGCCTTTGCTTATTTCCATTTTCTTTCAGAAACAATCTGAATTCTTGGGACCTGATTCCCACTTACACACCACAGGCCCTTCACGTCGGCAGTGGGTGGGTTTTTCTTTGTGCCAAATGAGACTGCTCGAAAAATCAGCCTCCGATCAACTTAACTGTGTAGATTCCCTGCTCCTACTGTCACCGCTTTATTATGACTTGTAGCACCGATGAGCCCCAGTCAAGGGCCTGGATTCCAGGGCGCCAGGTGCTGTACAAACACGGAATGAAACAACGATCCCTGCCCCAGAGAGCTTCCAACCTGAGGATGACGGAAGTGTAAGGTCTGTCTTTTGTTCTGTCTGTACAGCTCCTCGCGCCAGGGGGTTGTGGGCCACGCAGGAAGCCGATGACGTGGGCGTGTCAGCTCTGTCCTAGTTTACATGGGGGTTCTCACAACAAATTGTTTGGTAGCCTGTGACAATTTTCCCTAAACTACTTAATTAACTTTAGGAAAAACAAATAAATATCTGCAGGCACGTGTCCAAACCATTGCCACTTATTTAGGTCTATTAGTTTTTTGGGGTTTTTTTTGCACTCAGTAATAAAGAGATTGGACAGTTGTCTCTATTCTGTACTGGATCGAAACAGAAACACAACTAAGGTGCGTTGTGTATTTCTGTGCTTTGCCTTTTTTTGGTTGTTGGTGGGTTTTTTTTGTTTTTTTTAAGACTTGCTGGCTAGTAAGTCTGCTACTATGAAAAGTGATCTTTGTATATTTGTTAACATCACTTTTTTACAGCAGATTTACTCAGCCCCAGCAAGCTGGGGGGACAAATTAAACCCGAGATGGGGAGGGAGGCAGAGAAGGCCAGTGGTAATGTGGGGGGTGAGCCTGGGGCTGGAGCCCAAAGCCCTGTGGGTGGAGCCCGCTGCCCCACGGCCAGAGCCCGCTGCCCACCACCCACGGCTGAAGCTCGAAGCCCAAGCCCCACCGCCCCTAGGAAGGTGGGGAACCGACATGGGTTGCTTGCTCCTATGGTGTTTGTGGTTCCAGAAGGGGGCAGGGACCACTGCTGGTGGCCCAGAGGGAGGGGCAGCTGCTTTCCCCCACCCCATCACCACCCAGGAGGCTGTGGCTGCAAGAAAAACCCCTGGTGGCCACATGCGGCCACGATGGCTGCATACCAGAAACACTGGTTTTGATTCAGAAGCCCTGCTGTTTCAAGGATAACTTTTCTGAGTGCTCCACTAATGAGATACAGCCAGGGGGTGCCAAGGAAGCTGTATTTCAGCTTGTAGTGACAGCCAGCTAAGCTCAGGGCCCCATTGGGCCGGGCGCGGCACAGACATACAGAGTTCGCAGCCTCTGGGTCCCCTTTTCCAGATGGGAATACTGAGGCTGAGAGAGATGTGACTTGCCCAAGGGGCACAGAGGAAATTAGCAGCAGCACTAGGAACAGGAAGGCGGATCTCCAGAGGCCCCAGGGTCAGCGCTGTCACCCATATGCCTGCCCCTCTCCTTTCAGGGCCCAGCTTGTTACATGGGCTTGTATGGAAAATCAATAACTCAACCCGATAGACAAGCAATCCCTGGCCATTCAGTCTGGTGGGGCTTTTCCTCCGGAGGGGGAGAGCACGGATCTGTTCTGGGGGATGTTATCACCACCTGCCTTGCTCTCAATCAGCAGAGGGGTCTTTTGTTTATTGCAAGATATGCAGCCCCCCACCCTGTAATCTCGACACTGTCCTTTTAAGAATCTCCCATCCCCAGTCATCACTCCCTGCTCCTTGGCTTCCAACCCGCCCTGCTCAACATGCTTCTGCCCTAGGACTATTCTGTTTACTGCCACCAGGCGGAGCTATTGGTTTACTAGAGGTCATCACATCCCCCTTCCCCACCCCAGGTCTGACTTTAAGGAAAAGCTCATCTCCCCTCTCAGGGTCTGTCTACACTGCACAGGGCTCTGACTCGGGTTTGACCCGAAGCCCTGCTTCTGTCCACACACAAATCAGTCTGACTTGGGTCGGCAAGGACTCAGGTCCGGGACCCTGCTCGTGGGGGTGGATCAGAGCCCGATTTCCCCCCCGCCACCCCGTGATTCAGGTACAAACGCGGTCATTTTGCAGAGAGGATGCAGCTCAAGCCACGGATCCGAGTCAGAGCCAGGTGTGTGCAGGGCAGTATGGACGCCTTAGCACTGCCATGAGACCTGGCTCCAGCAACTGCAAGCCCGGGTTTACAGTGCAGTGTGGACACTCAAGTACGGGCTTGGAAACACAGAGTTCACCAGCCCGGCTCCCGCAGCACCGGGTTTACAATGCAGCGTAGCTGTACACCCTTAGTCTTCTCTGCCTTGCTATGCAGCCTGGCTCCCAGCAGCTCCTGCTGGCAGGTGTCACAGGGATGCAGTCAGGAGGGGTGTTTAACTCTCCTTTGGGGATGTCTGTCTCCGCCACAGATGCCAGCTGTAGGGGTTGGGGGAGGAGGTGGCTGGGGTTCGCTCAGGTGGGAAAGGAAAGGGCACAGCTGGACAGAAAGGAGCCAGGCTGAACCCCAACCCCCCTCCTCCCCCCCCGCCCAGTCCCTGTTGAGCACTGTGGTAACTGGAGCTGGGAAGGGCTTATTCCATTGTAGCCTGTCCCCTTGCTGGGGAGGGCGTTGTTTTATATTTTACGATAGTGCCTATAGGCCCCAGGTGACCCACACTGTGCTAGGCATTGTACATACCTGCAGCAGAGATCAGTGCTTGCCTTGAAGAGTCTAAAGTCTCTAGAGGCAGAAGATTATCGTCCCACTTACAGCTGGGCATCAGAGAGAGAGAGTTTAAGTGACTTGCCCAAGGTCACGCAAGCTGGCTGTGTCAGACAATTGAACCCTTAGTCTGCTGAGTGCCAGGTAAGGGCCTGGCCACAAAACCACCTTCTACCTCTGTGAGAGGAAGCTAAATGCTTGTTCCATTAAAGCCAATGGTAGAACATCCAGTGGTTTTGTTGGGGGAGAGATGGTTTTGCCCCAGAGCTGCCAGTATGGGGTAGAGCTAGGGTATTGCTTGTGATGGGCCTGAACCAAAATCCCAGATCCTCATGTCATGGAATTTTGAATCCAAACCAAGTTCTGCAGGTGGCCTGTATCTTTGTAATTGTCAGAGCCCAAAATCCTGGGACACAACCCCCCTAGGATGCTGGGGGGTTTTGGAACCTGGATCTGAACTTTGCCACTGGAGGCCAGCTTCCATATTGATGCGGGGGGTGGCAGGGAAGGAGATTTGGTTTGGGTCCAAACACTACCATAGTTCTTCTGGGGGGGCCCTGCAATATGTCTCTGTCAGAAGCTCTCTGGGTTCAGATCCTCACTAAGATCAGCTGATGATTTGATTCAATTCAATGGCTGAGCAGAGTCAGAGAGTCCAGAAGGAAATTTGTGTTGCCGGGAGTCACAACCCCTGCATTCTAGTCCCAGCTCTGCCACTGATCTGCTGGGTGACCTTGGGCATGTCACTTCCCAGTCCGCTCCCGGTGCCTCAGTTTCCTTATTGATAAAACAATTCTTTAAACCCTTCAAGCTCTATGGATGAGAAGTGCTATATAAGAGCTAGGTATTGGTATTAACGAGTCTAATCTCACCCTCCTGGTCTGTCCTAATCGGTATGTTCCCTAAGGGCCAGATTCTGCTGTAAATTAAATCAGTGTAAATCTGGACTAGCTCTCAACTACAGTGGAGAGACTGGTTACAGAGGAGCAGCCGTGTTAGTCTGTATTCGCAAAAAGAAAAGGAGGACTTGTGGCACCTTAGAGACTAACAAAGTTATTTGAGCATAAGCTTTCACGGGCTACAGCTCATTGTGGGATTTACGCAGATGCATTCCCATCCCATGCCCGAGGAGCCCCCAGTCACCAGGCTGGCATTGCCCCTGCATTTCCACGGATTTCAATCCAGACTTTCCCCTCAGCGACCCGGGCGTTGTTCCAGGTGGATGGCATGTGCCGCTGAGACTTTCCGAATCTAGGTGGAAATGGCATTGCACCGCTGACAGGAGCAGTGGGCCCAGAGGAGAGGAGATGGCCCAGGCTGGGTGGGATGGGGATGCATGGCCCGGGCCAGAGTCTGGGGGCTGTGAACATGGAGGAATAGACAGAGTGAGTCCGGGTTGCTTCCTAACTGGGCAGGCAGGGAAAGTCCAGCTGTTTAAAGCGACACCCAAACGGAATTTTCTTTTGCAAGGGGTGTGTGGGGGCGGAGGGGATCAGTGTCTCCCCCCCAGACAGGTGAGCCTGGAGACATTTTCTCTCCTCCCAGAGGCCAAGGGGGGAGGGACTAGACAGAGAGGCTGAGCAATGCCATGACACATAAAGGGATGGGGGAGAAAGCGCCGGAGAGCAGAGGGAGACAGGAGGCTCCTGTGTGGGGCAGCCCGGAGCAGACAGCGGAAGCCTCATTAGGAGACAGAGAGAGAAGGGGGTGGGGGTCCATCAGCCAGGGGTGGGGGGAAGGGGCGCCAGGTCCTTTATCAGGCTAGGGGAGAGCAAAGGGGCCAGGGGCCAGGAGGTCAGTAGGGAACTAGCCCGTGCAAAAGCTCTGCCCCCCATCACCCCCCCCCCAGGTGCTGCTCGGTGCATTGCTCTCTCCCCACCCGGCTGCTTTGCCTGCTCCCGATTCGAGATGCCCAATTTCTCCGGCAACTGGAAGATGAAGCACTCGGAGAACTTCGAGGAGCTGCTGAAAGCTTTGGGTGAGTCGGTGGGAGCTCTGCGCCCCCCGCCCCCCCCGCGGATCCCTGAGCACCTGCCCCCTCTTCCCCCCAGATCCCTAAGCACCTGCCTCCTCCTCCCCCCGGATCCCTGAGCACCTGCCCCCCCCCCCAGATCCCTGAGCACCTGCCCCCACCCCCGGATCCCTGAGCACCTGCCCCCACCCCCGGATCCCTGAGCACGGAGGCCAGCCCGAGCCTGGGGGTGGGGGGAAAGAAATAACCGATGACTCAGGGTGAGGTGAGACGAGCCAGCTGCTCGAAATGAACCCGGCATCACCCCTGGGGCAGGGAGCGGGCTGGCTCCTTGGAGCGCATCCAGACATGGGCTCTCGGAGGGGTGTAGGAAACTGACCCGCCGGGCCCGCATTCTGATCTCACTCCCGCTGGCCTAAATCCGGAGTCACTCCACCACTCACGGCTGCTTCGGCTGGCCTCAGTGGAGTTGCTCTGGACGTTCTCTGGTGCCCCTGAACGGAATTGCTCTGGGTTGACACCAGGAGTCAGGCTGCTGAGTGGTATTGCTCTGGATTTACACCAGACCTGGAGTAACTCCACTGAGTACATTGGCTCTGGATTTACACTCGGAGGAACGGAGACCAGAAATCCAGCCCTGAGCTCTTATAAGTATCTGGGAGCTACTGTACTTCTCTTTGATTTCCCCTGGTGTAAATCTTGGAGTCACTTCAGTGGAGTGGCTCTGAATTTACACGGGAGTAACGGAGATCAGGATCCGGCCCCAGGGTGGAACTGAAGGGAGCCTGTCGGTGGATTATACCGAACCTCAGGACTCATGGGTGACTTTGAGCAACAATGGGCCTGATTCTCCTGGCAAACTGGTGTAAATCAGGAGTAGCCCTTGAAAAATCACTGGGGAGTGAGTGGAGAATTGGCCCCAGTGACTATTGTAATGGGGACTAAACTGTCTGACGGGGGCAGGGAATTTTTTTCCTTCTCTTCACCTCTTTTTTTCTGGTTCTGTCCTTCAGCCTCCCTTTCCAGTGCCCTTCTCACACCAAGCCCCCTGCCCTGTCTGATCTACCAGGCAGCAGCAGCAGGAGACAGTCAGGTTGGGACTGGCCCTGTTGCAGATCGTCCCGTTGGGATGCCGGCTGGACCAGCTGGGAATCGAACTGGAATTCTCCCCCAGGGGAGGCAGAGCCCAGTGCTACCCTCTGGCCGTTTGCTGCCATGCATGGGTGCAGGGTGCTCCGCCTAGCACCCAGGGAGGGTCTGTCCAGCCTCAGCTCTGATCCCCAGCCGGCTTCTTCTCTCCTGTGCACCCCGTCAGCGCTGGGTCGGGAGGAAGATGGGACTTTCCAGCCAGCCCCACATAGCTGCAGAAGAAGTGAGTAAACGCTGAGTGGGGCGAGGGAGCAATGCACTCTCGGATGGGCTCATGACGGGCTCAGTGATGAGCTCAGCCTATGACTTTGGGAGCATGTGGCTCTGTGCCTCAGTTTCCCCCATCGAACGACACTGCTTCCTAGAGGGGGTTGTGAGGCAAAATGAATTGGTGCTTCGATTCTGCAGAGAGGGGTGGGGTAAAAAAAACCCTGCGATACTGTAGGGAGGGGACAACTGGATCCAGCGTTCAGGGGTGTGCCGAGATCTGGGGTCCTGGCACGGCTCATTAGCCCCCTTCTTGTTATATCTGTGAGGTTTCAGTTGGGGTCGCAACTGCTCCTCCCCACTCAGCCCCTCTAAAGTCTAGGGGCTCCAAGGAGGTGTGGGGGGGAGTGCACTGCTTCCATTTCGTGCCCCCTGCCACCATAGACAATACTCTCCCTGCTTGTTGGTTGTTATAGACTCAGAGACTTTAAGGCCAGAAGGGACCATTGTGATCATCTAGTCTGACCTCCTGCCCATCACAGGCCACAGACCCTCACCCACCCTCTCCTGTAACAGGGGGATTGTAGGGACTGTGTGGGTGATCGGGGAGCACCTGTAACAAACAAGCAGGAGCCAATGTGAAAGCCCCTTTAGATAACGATCTATAATCCTCCCCCCATGCCAAAAAAGGCTTCCTTATAAATTAGAGATGTGGTGAGACCCACCTGAATTATTAACAAGGCTCAGCCCATCTAATCACTGATCTCCCCGTGCTTTACAACGGCACCTTAGTATGGTTATCCCCATTTTACAGATGGGGAGACTGAGGCACGGTTGGGGGGGGGAGGCTTGCCTAAGAGTCACACAGCTCGTCAGCAGCCAAGTTGGGAAGAAAACACAGACCTTCTGCCACTTGCTCACTGCACTCTCCTTCCCTCACAGAGCCAGGAGTAGAACCCAGGAGTCCTGACGGGCAGTCCCTTGTTCAGACCGCTGCTCCAGGCTACTTTCTCCTCCAGCAATGCTTAATTTGTGCCAGGGCTGAGCCCCGGCACCTCTGGGCCGGGCAGTTCAGAGCCCCGGCACCTCTGGGCTGGGCAGTTCAGAGCCCCGGCACCTCTGGGCTTGCTGCATCAGTTATGAATGTAAAAAAATGGCTTGAGCCCCGGCACCTCTTCCATTACAAATTAAGCCCTGCCTTGCGCCTCTGAACTTTCCCCAAAGCCCCTGTGTGCACTTTGGCTCTGGGGCTGCTGGTGACTGTCACGCCCGGTTGATTGCAGAAAGCTCTGGTCTTTCTCTGACCACCGACCCTGAGCAATGTTCGGGCGGCCCTTGCTGCTCGCTGGGGTGTGTTTATATATGGGCTGTAGCTCTTGGCACCCGCTTTCGGGCCTTCATTGCTGGATGCAGTTTGGGAAGTCGCATGTGTCCCTGCAGAGCAGGAGGGTGCTCCAGGCTGGGACCGAGGGGTTTGGAGGGCAAGAGTGGGATCAGGGCTGGGGCAAGGGGTTGGGGTGTGGGAGGGGGTCAGGGGTGCAGGCTCCAGGCAGTGCAGGAGCAACGGCATGTCCCTGCTCTGGCTCCTACATGGAGGCCTGGCCAGGCAACTCTGCATGCTGCCCTGTCTGCAGGCCTTACCCCTCCAGATCCCATTGGCCATGGTTCCCGCCAATGGGAGCTGTGGGGGCAGCACTTGGGGCGGGGGCAGTGTGCAGAGCCCCTTGGCTGCCCCTACATGTAGGAGCCGGAGTGGGGACATGCCGGAGTCATGGTATGCATGGAGCGGGACAAGCCCCTGACCCTGCTCCCCAACTGGAGCTCCGGAGCAGGGCAAGCCTTGGACCCTGCTCCCCAGTGGGTGCTTGAGGGCCAGTTTCAAATATCTGAAGGGCCAGATGCGGCCCCCGTGCCATAGTTTGCCCACCCCTGGTCTAGGCAGATTGTTCCTAGAGGATAGCGCAATGGGCTGGTGTTTAGGAGACCTGATGTCTAGTCATGCCTCTGTAAGTGGCCTGGTGGGTGACCTTGGGCAAATCATGTCTCAGCTCCGTGCCTCAGTTTCCCCATCTATAAGGTGGGGCTAATGATGTTTATCTCCTTTGCAAAATGGTTGGTGAGCTATGGCTGAAAAGTGCCAAGGGGATGAGGAGGCGTTCTTAAGTGGCTGTGCTAACAGGATCCCCGCATATCTTTGCTCTTTGAGAAGCCCCCTCTGTGAGGCAACTGCTGGTCACGTGAGAGGGGGCCCTGGTGCCTTTGCGTTGTTGGCTGCTGGTTGGGTCGGCTGTGGTTGTTGGACTCTGGAGTTCTGGATCTGAAAGGTGTGAGAGTCTAGTGGTGGCACTAAACGTCTGTGAGCTTAAAACCTGCATCAGAGCGATAGGAATAAACCTGACCAGGTGATCTAGCCACTGGTGACCAAGGAGCACGGCACATTAGCCTCGGTGGTACAACGCATCCCACCCCAGGCACTTACGGGTGAGTCTGTCTCCACCGCACTCAAAGACTGGGGCTCACCTGGGTCAGCTGATGTGGGCTCATGGCACTTGGGCTGAGGGCGATAAAAGTGCAGTGTAGCCATTCAGGGTCTGGCTGGAGCCTGGCCTCTGAGACCCTGTGAGGGGAAACTGACCGTCTACCCTGCAGTTTTGAGCCCCACAGCCCGAGCCCAGTGAGCTCGAGTCAGCTGACCAGGGTCCCCTCCTCAAGAGCTGCACTGAAGTGGGGGCAGCTGGCTCAGAGCCCTTGGGGCGGGGGCATGTGCAAGCTTGTAGCTTGTGCAAGGTGTGTGTGTATAGGGTGGGGATGGGGGGCAGGAAGAGCATTCTTAAAGACACAGGCGCCCCGCCCTCCAAAAAGTCTGTGCTGGGAGTGGCTGTGTGGGAGCTGGGATCCAGGCTGCTGCAACGGGGCAGGAGATGCCAAGCTGTGTGTGAAGCCAGCCTGGCTTGGGGGTCCTTCCAGAAGGAAACAATTAGTGAGGAAAGCTTGGGGTGGGGTGGGAGTGTGTGTGTGTGTCGGGGGGATGTTGTAGGGCAGGGGCATCTGGGCTCCTGGTGTCACCCTGGGAATTTAAAATTGGGGAAACCCCTTGCTCCAGGGCTAGTGAGGTCTCAAGCGCCTTCCACAGGATCCGGCCCCTTAAAGGTGAAATGGCCCCGGGTGTAAGAAAATGCCTTTCGGGTCAGATTTCCCAGCCCTAAGCATTCAGGAGCATCCACTGGGGAACAATGGAGAATATTCCCCTTCCCGCATTGGAGAATAATGAAAAAATCCCCTCCTCCTCCCTCCCTCCACCACTGGAGAACAATGGAAAGACCCCCTCCCCCCACTGAGGACAAAGGAAAATGCCCTCCCCCTCACTGCGGAGAACAATGGGAGCTGCTGGGTTCTGGGCCTTTTGGAGAATCTGTCCTGAAATACAAAAGTCAGTGACCAGCCCAGCTAGATTCCTCCCAAACCCTCACCAGGCAGTGGGGCGAAACAGCCCCCATTGCCAGAGCTCGCCCGCTCTCCCCTCCGCTTGACCCTGTCTTGGTGAAACGAGAAGCGAGGGGAGCAGAATATTTTCCAGGTTAGAGGATATGTAACAAATACTTCAGTATAATTATCACTTACTTATGTTTCATTTGGTTCTCTCCCCCCAC